ATTTAAAATTATGAGTCATTCATGGATTTTGACAAAAAGATCCTGCAGTTTATCTTACCCTTGCTTGATAAGCTATGGATTGTGCGAGAGTTAACACTGGAGGATATTTAACAGAAAAATGGTATTACAAATATTGCCAGGTGTGACATGACCTTCTTTATTTATATTAAAAATAATTAAGTTGAATTAAATCAATTATTTGAAGCAATGATATTTGATATAAATCCTCATCCTAAAGTTTAAGAATTTATCTTTTGTTTTATATTCTATTTCTTAAAAATACATCCAAGACTGCTTTTAAATTGGATCAATGATCAAATTGTCAATTTCATATGAAGTGTTTGACAATTTCAATTTTATGTGATGTTCAATGATAAAGTGCATCCCTATACTAACTGATCAGAAAGATTGTGGCTGTTGTATCTAGAAGACATAAAAAAACGTTTATCCTTTCTCTGGGTTAGCTACTACGTAAAATTGACTACTGATAAACCAGACACAAAGTACAAAAGAAAAAGAAACTTCTGGGATTATCAGGAATTCAAAATCCAGGATTATGTATCTTCTGTGAACGAGATACAAAGTGCTTTCAAGTTGATAAGCCCAACAAACCACAATGATTGACCAAAGCAAGTCTATGTGCGATGGGAAATATTTCAAGATCTTTCTACTATGAACCCTCTACTTGAACTATAAAAAAAGAGAAATAATAATCAGTAAAATAATAGCTGTTGATCAGCAAAATCATTGATGACATAAGTGGCTGTTGAACATTCTTTTAATAATAATCCTTACATTTTCTTTCCTTTTTCTTATTCTTTATTTGTTCTTTCCTCCTTCTCTCATTCCATATTTTTATATATTAAAATAATTATAACTTTACATCATGTATTTGTTTTTGATATATTGTCTGCATTGGTATTGGTCCCTAACATTAGAAAATCCCATTATTTTTTTTCATTTAAGTGAACTGCATTCATTGCCATGTTTGAATTTTGTTGAAAGATAAAATTCACAACACAAGTCATAAGTAGACATGCTGTTTTTGAAAAACCAAAAACACACTAGCATATTTGGCTTTGGAAGAGTTAATACATTCATTGTCCATCAGATATGAATATAAGATTTTTTTTTGTAAAGTTTGACTCTTTATATTGTAGTGAAACCTGATAAAAAACAAATAAGATATAAAAATAAAATATATAATCAAAAATAAAAATACTTAAAATTAAATTAAGGCATTTGTACTTTCATTTAAAACCCTTATCTCTTTCTTTTTCTCTGAACTTCACTTTCTATATTTCTCTCTTAACTAATGAGAAGGCAACCCTTAAATAAAAAAAGAGGAAGAAGAGAAAACTGAACCCAGCCAAAAACATTTTAAATTTGCTGGAGCAGAGCCTACTTATTTGTGACTGAAAAATACCAAAATTCAGGGAGGCTCTATGCATAACTTCTGTTCTGGAACAACAGAAAATAAAATTTTGGGCAATCAAAAAAATTTACACAAAAAGGCTTTTGATGTTAGCTGAAACCAATGTTCATGTCAAATTCTCAAGCCTGGTTAAAAAGATATAAACCTAACACCTAAAGGCTAGAGGCAGATCGGATGAGGAGAGGAGAGTACAAAAGAACATTACTGTGTAGAAAGCAGCCATGTATGATGTGTAAAGAAACATTTAAGAAATTAATTGTTACTGATATTTCTGCCCTCTTCAGGGCCAAGAAAAACACAGTAGATTGACATTGTCCTAATTTCTATATTACTACAACCCATATTATGGTCTTACATCAAAACACAATTACTGGACAATTCTCCAGACTGCTACCAATATCCCCTTTGTTAAATATTTTGCTATGCTGACTACCAAAAGACTCATTTATCACTCTAAAGAAAATAAATCAAAATATATGATTTATTTTAGACCCTTGTTGTCAGTTCGTTTTATTTCCAAAGTTTTCCCCCAAAAAATTGTCATAACATACAATATCTACACTGTTGACCGGATGTGAACACTTGCCACAATATCATAAACTAGGAGTTTTTAATGTTCACTTGCAAGAAGGGAATACAAGCGTCTTTTAAGCTGACAGCAGTATCTGAGGAAAAGAGATTGGCTTGTGTAACTTGTCCAACTATGAAAATGATGATAAAGTTTTTTGGTGATCCAGATATTTTGGCTGATGAAAATATTCCATCTACAAAGTATGAGCCAGTATTTTTGGGTGAACACCTAACTTTTAAAACAAGAAATAAACAAGTGTAATCTAGATTTTGAAGAAGTATCTTTGATCCTATTGACAGACAAGGAAATAGGAGGTGTTTTAATTATAATTCTATAAAACACTTGGCAAAAGACTTATTGTGAATATAAAAGCACAGAGTTAACATAACACTGTTAAATGCCAATCCTCATTTGTGTATATTAATTAAAGAATCACTTGGAATAGGAATACTAGATAACTTAATGCAGTGTTTCTCAAACATTTTAAGCAATGGCACACCTTGGAGTAAATTAAAATATCATGGCACACTTAGCAAAATTTTTAAAAGGTATACATTTACATGTTATGAAATAAAACTGTATATTTAAAAAAAATACCCACAAATATGAACTTTATTTCAATGTTTCTATTCAACTATTTGTGCAGTTGATTTAGTGGAAATCTATGCCTGGTGTTTTTTTGCCATTTCTTCAATGTTTGGTTGAATGTGCGATAAGCAGACCCTTATTTTTTCTTCTGTTGAGCGTAATCTTTCCCACTTATTTTTTGTTATTTAGGGTTGAGAAGCCTAATTTACATAAATAAGTAGAAAATTGCAATGAAACTGATAAAGCTATTTTAGCTAATGTGGAATAAAAAAAGTTTAATACTTGTTCATTTATTCAAATCCTAACGCTACTACTTCAACATACTCACACACATATATATATATATATATATTCTGTGGCACCTCGAGGTAGTGTAATGGTTAACAAGCTTGTCTCGCTAGAACATTTATGACTGAGAAGCGAGTTCGATTTTCCATACGTGCCCCTTACTTTCGGCCTTGTGCCATACCCAAGCTATGTTTGGAAAATCACTATACATGTATTCTATGACATTTTGGTTGAGAAACACTGCCATAACAGATAAAGAAAAGTCTTGTTAAATATTTTCCAACTGAAAGATCAGAAACCCCTAATGAACCTCGGCTAGAAACATAACTAATGGTGTGTACCAAAACCAACAATGTTGAAGATTTGAAGTCTATGTTGAAATATCAAAATAAAATTTTAAAAAATTTGTCTCTGGATATTTAAGCACCAAAAATAATCAATATCAATGCAAAAAACAAGTTAGTGTTAAAATAATTTGTCTTAGAAATTTGGTAATCAAAAATTTAAAAAAAAAATTGTAGATTTTTTTTTTTTTTATTGTTGCATATCCATCTCAAAATGAATGAAGTTCCATGCAAATGTAGCTGTATTTAATGCAATACACAGAGCAAAAATAAAAAGAAAATGCATATAATAGTTTTTCATAGTATATTTTTATTGAAAAATCTTTAAAAAAAAAAAAAAAAAAAAAAAAAAAAATTTGTAATCAGAAACCCAAGTGTTGAAGTGAATGCAATATTAGCAAATAATGCACAACACTTTTCCTACCCTGTGTACAGCTGTGCTATTTATTTCATATTAAAATAATTGCTTGACATTACAAAATTTATAAAAACTTTAACAAAAAGTAAAAAAAGAAAAAAAAAAAAAGAAAAAAATAAGAAAGAAAAAGATCACAAGTTCCATTTTGTAAAGATATCTGAAACTGAACCATTTTAATGGGAGATTTGTTCATTGTTTGAAACTAACACTACATCAGATCTCAAAACAATTATGGCAAACATGGCTCTTTGTACCCACAAAAAAATAAAAAAAATAAATAGTGCCAAAAGGATAGTTTTCCTTTAACACTGCTATTATTTTAACTACCTGCACTCTTCAGCAATGTTTATTATTTTGAAAAGTGATGATTAGAATTATAATAAAACCTAAACATGAAGAAAGAGAATTTACACATTTTTCTTTATTTTTGAGAAGTTACAATAAAAATATTAAACACTATTTATTTATTAGGTTGTATATTTACAAGAATATTTTTATATTTATAACATTCTAAAAATAAAAAAAGTAATACAATTAGAACTAATACAATGTAATATTTATCATTTATTACAATAAATAATATAATAGTGTAAATAAACAATTTAATAAATTGTCTTATTTTTGTTGTCATATTCTCAAGAATAAAGAAAACGTATTCATTCACTTTCATATGTTTTGGTAAAATTCTAATTAATACTTTTTAAAACAAACATTGCCAAAGAGTGAAGACAGTTAAAAAAAAAAAAAAAAATGATGCCATAGTTCTTTTGACACACTGTTTTATTGCAGGGAAGGAGGCCATAATTATTCTTTATGCTATATACTCAATAAGATATTGCAAAAATAAACTGAAAAGGAAAGCAGTGTCAATATTTGCTAACACTGGAAGAAACAAGCAAGGCATTTTTTAAACCCCAATGAATTGCTATCAAGTATTCTATATTTACATACAAAGATCTAAATTTGTGGAGATAACAATACAGGAAACACTAACAGTAATTAACAGCAACGAAAGAAAATGGTAATTTATTTGTAACATTGAAATTTACTGGACAAAACATTAATAGTATTAAACAACAAAACTAGGCCTTAAGATTAAAATTGATTTATATGATCACACAGATTTCTAAATTTATACTGAAAATTTATTTTACAATTTACATTTAGATAGACACTAGTTCAATAAATTAGTAGCTAAATGATAACCAGTTATACCATACAGTCAAATATCTATCTGTGGAAATAAAAAATATTTATTTCATATTAATGGTCTGCACTACCCCCCTTACTCAACAGTAAAAGACATAAATAAAAAAATAGAATACAAATAGGAAGCACTTTAAAGTTTAACTAAATTTAGATAATGCTATTGTAAAGAGTATTGTGTGAAAGTTTATTTTGGGGTATATGTCCTGAGTCCCCAAACATTTTGAGACATACTCTTCCATCAGGGCGGATTGTGACCCAGGTTATACTTGCATGATATAGCCGAAATCGGAGCCAAGCTTCTGGAGGAAACTGTAGAGCCCTGGGGAAAGAAAATAAATAAATAAATAAATGTTAACAAAAAACATTTTTTCCATGTACAACGATAATTTTTTTCAAAAAAGTATTGCTGGTAATATTTTTTTCTTCAAAAATTTATTACTGGTAATAATTTTTTACAAAGTATTTCTGGTATTAAAACCTATTTATACACTTTCATAGTGTTTTTACCCCAGTTAGATATATTAATCAAAATAACAAAAATAGATTTCTCACAGCTATTTTTTTCATGCACATGCTAATATATCGTACTTTTTATTTTTGTTTAAAACTGAATGGCTAGCCACTGCCACCAAGTGGTCACTTTGAGAACTAATAGGACTTGTTCTGCTAAGTTTGCAAATTTTGAAATATATTGCTGATGATTTGGAAGTTTTTTTATTTTTCCTTCAGGTCTTTTTATTTTGCCTGTATATTTTGTCTTGTATCTGAAATGCATTGATGGGGGGGGGGTCCATAGATGAGAGGTTATATATATTATATATATATATATATATATATATATATATATATATAAATAAAGTAATGAACTGCAAATCTTTCAGTTTCTATGGTCTCAAACAGTGACTACTATATGGCCATTCCTGCCACATCTTGCTTCCAGTGATTGATACCGTTATAATGTAACAAAAACAAACACATGGCATTAATTCTGCTCTATTCAATAGTGTAGTTTTAACACTCAGTCCCACAAATATCTGAAAAAGAAACCTGTAAGAGGAAAGGTTAAGTATCACAGCTATATATCAGTAGAGATATTTTACTCTCCCCTAAGAGTAAGAATGTGCATTGCGGTGTAATGGTTAACGTGCCTGGAATGAGAAAGCAGAGAGCTAAGTTCATTACATTCAGTTATAGTGGAAATGCCCTAGGGAAAGATGAATCCACCTCTTCTCCCCCCAGCTATGGATTGAATAGCAGGACAGACTTTGTTCTATAGCTTTGGTAGGCAACCAGTCTACTGCAGAAAGAAACAGCAACCTACTGCAAAAAATCTGCCTAGTCAGTCATGAATCAAAAGAGACATGATCACATATAGCACTTAACTGATTGACTGAAGAAATTCACCAATGCATTTAACCTAGCATGGATATAATTTTAGGTGTTTTACATAGTAAAATTTGGATAAATGCTTAAAAGTATGTTAGAACACTATTTGGGATAGAAATAATGTTACAATGCTAATATAACACCACACAGTAACACCCTACTTTGAGTGGCTCTTGCGGCTTGCATTGGTCATATATATATATATATATATATATATATATATATATATATATTATTTAGTCAAGTACAAAAGAGTAAAACATTCCTGTTCATATCATCCTGGTAGCAGTTTAAAAATGACACCTTTTTCTCATGGATTATGACAAAGTTTGTTTTTTCTTGATTTCAGATGAAAATTATTTACATTATTCTGACTATTGTCCTTATCTTTGTTGCCATATTTATTATGTTTTGGCCATTGTACGTTCCAGGTTGGAATGTCAAACATAACCCTTTATTTTGCTCACTGGGGTAGACTGTTCTAGTTTCACGAACCATGTTTAATGGATGTCAGTTATCAGTTATCTCCTGTCAATTTTCCCTCTGAAAGTTCTCCACTGACTTAACTGGGTATTGAACTCACACTCTTTTGGTCCTAACCAATGCCTTTATCCACTGTGCCAAAAAAGTCAGTGGACAAAATGTAAGCCTCAGACAAGATTAATTAATAAGATTAGGTGTAATGGCCATTTGCATATTATTATATTACATTATATTAAAATAAAATATGAATGCAAAATGACGAATATATATATATATATATATATATATATATATTTATTTATTTAGTCATGCATTCATTTCAAGAGATCATTTATAATTATTATGTATACATAAATGGAGGATAAATTTCTGAGCATGAAATAAGTGTATATATTGGATATTGTGTTTATTGTCTCAGTTTAACATTCAAGTATATATATTGGGTATTGTACAAGGTGGTGCAAAAGTCTTGTAACCCCTAACTCTTACAAACTGTAGAAGCTATCTAAAATCGAAAATTATATTATATAACGGTGACAAGACCACTATGTACATATGTGTATATATTGGATATTATTATTATTACTGAGGATACTGACAAAAATTACAAAATTTTAATTCCCAAGATTTCTAGTTAACAAATCAGAAAGTTTTATTAAATGTTTCTCTATTAAATATATTTTCTTAAAAAATGTTTGTTTAATCATAACAGTCATTAATAAAAAAAAAATGTAATGATTTAGTTAACTAAAATAAATCTAAAAGTAAAAGTGAAATTAAGTCAACTTGACCTATTTTTTGAATTTATTGTAACATGGAGAAGAGAGCATATAAAAGGGCAAATTCACTTTTACCTTATTCTTGCCTAAAATATTTTACCTAGCTTCATAATATAAGATTTTTTTTAAGTCTAAAATTATTTTTTCCATTAAATTTTAGCATTTACAAAGACTGTAAAAGTAATTTTTTTTATATTTTCAGTTCAACATAAATTAGTTATCTTTTCTTTTTACTTTCTTATGAGTGCTATTTAGACTTGAAGGCCCACTTCATTTTCAGCATTCCTCTCCAAACCTCTGTGATTCTTGCTAACTTATGGAATTGCTGCAAGTCTTCCAAGCTCTTCAAGGATTTTATACAGAATGATAAAAATTTATTGATTGTTCTTTTAATGCCATTGTTCAACGTGCATCCTATGATTGTTTGTCCAATGTCTTTGAATGTTATCCTATTTGTTATTGATAACAAGACCATTTCAATAGTATTTACTGTCCATTAACAAAATCCTATGTTCATATCAAGGTCATCTTTGATTTTGTTTTTTAGGATTTCACAATTTTTATATCATTAACTTTCCTAATCTACTTTTTTGTATGAATGATTCATTGTAATATGAATTGAACTGAACCACATATTTGATTTAAAGGAACTGATCTGACATACGAAACTTCTGGGATAACAACTGAGACATTACACTATTTATTTAAAAATTTAGTTCATGCCACATTGACTGATAAACTCTTACAACAAAAAAAATCTCAAATTACCATGTAGGTAAAAAATGCAAAAAAAAAAAAAAAAAAAAAAAAAAAAAAAAATCAACCTTAGCATTGCAATTATACACTCAAAATTTTTTTTTATCGATTATCAATAACACATTTCTAAGAAAGAAAAAAAAACATTTTGATTTGCATTTAATTTTTTGTCAGACGCTACCTGGATTTTACTTAAAACAAAATAATTTCCATGTGAGAGGATCACTAAAGTAGAGGCGAAAGTACTAGTACATTAACAAAAAAGATATACAGCTTGTAATTATTGAAAGCAAGGATCATTATATTGATTGAGCGTGTTTGTGTGTGTATATATAATATACATTATATATATATATATATATATATATATATATATATTATATAAAAAAAATGGACAAAGTCCGACAATTTATTTATTAAAGACATTTTTATGTTTAACGTTTTTTATAGATACAAATATTTAAGTAAATGCTCTGTTTATAATAAACAGTATTAAATAACATTTACGCCTGAATGTCCCAGAAATTTTTTTATAGAAAATATTCTTTCTTTGACAGGATTCGAACCTGCATCCTATACGGAACAATCATTTCACGCTGATGTGCCTTACTGATCAGCCACAAAGAAGCGTTCAGTAGACAATCTTCCATGAATCTCGTACATTCATAACTCGTTTGGTGTATCAAATGTAAAATAAATGACGTCATATATTAAGAAATGGACAAAAGTCCGACAATTTATTTATTAAAAGACATTTTTTATATATATATATATATATATATATATATATAGAGAGAGAGAGAGAGAGAAATATAGAAGAAATTAAAGAGAGAGAAATATAGAAATTAATATATATATATATATATATATAGAGAGAGAGAAATATATATATATATAGAGAGAGAGAGAAATATATATATATATAGAGAGAGAGAGAGAGAAATATATATATATATATATATATATATATATATATATATATATATAGAGAGAGAGAGAGAAATATATATATATATAGAAATAGAAATTATATATATATATATATATATATATATATATAGGAGAGAGAGAGAGATATATATATATATTATACAGTGTATCACAAAAGTGAGTACACCTCACATTTCTTCAAATATTTAAGTATATCTCTTCATGGGACAGCACTGAAAAAAATTACCTTTTGACACAATGAAAAAGTAGTCTGTCTGCATATATAGCATAGTTAATTTCTTTTCCTCAAAATAACTCAAAAATATAGCCATTAAAGCTAAATCCCTGGCAACAAAAGTGAGTGCACCCTCAAGAAATTGTCAATATTAAATGTCTAAATTGGGTACTGCTTTTTATTTTCCTCCAAAAATGTCATTATCCATTAGTGTAACTATGCCCATGTGTTCATGGGGAGCAGGTATTCAAATTTGTAGTGCAGCTGGAACACTCTCTTACCGGTCACTGAACATTTCCAGCATGTCACCACATGGCAAAGAACTGTTGAGGATCTTAAAAACGTATTGCACTACATAAAGATGGCCAAGGCTACAAGAAGATTGCCAACACCCTGAAACTGAGCTGCAGCACCAAGACCATCCAGCATTTTAAAAGAGCAGGGTCAACTCCAGACCAGGCCTTGGGTAGATCGTCAAAGAAGCTGAACACTGCTGAGCGTCACATCCAAATGTTTTTGAAAGATTGGCGTAGGAGTGCTGTTAGCATTGCTGCAGAGATTAAAGAGATTGGGATTCAGCCTGAGTAGGGTTCAGACCATACGCTACATACTACATCAAATTCATACATGTCACCCCCAGGAGGAAGCCACTTCTGAAGGCAATATAAGAAAGCCATAAAACAGTTTTCTTTGAAGTCATGTTAACAAAGGCTAAAAATACATTTATATATATATATATCAAATATATAT